AAACGTGTCATATACACATACAATGTATTATTATAATTTTTCTGTAGCGAACAAATTAGTTTGCATTCACGTCCTTAGATAATTACATCGAATGTAATAAAATTGTTTTTTCATTTTCATCCTTTTGAATTAGCGCTTCGTAAAATGTTTTTGTTAACGTCTTATGAAGCGAATGAGACAGCGAACAACAGCGCTGTGACATTGAACAATATCCCATTGTAAAGTCTCGCTACATATTCTGGAACGCTGTGTGGATCAGCACTATGCATAAATGTAATCTGGAATGATATAAATATCTTTGGGCCACTAGCACACAGATACCTTACACTTTTAACATAGTAAGGAAATTGTGCTTTGGTAATGGCTCTGAAAATTTAAATAATATATATATATATATATAATCGAGTAGAACATATTTGCTTGTGGACATTTCTGCGCTTATATACCGTCTTTTCGTATTGCAGAGTTATCTGCTCATTTGAGCAGGTATTGATTGTTACGTCATTTGTTTGCGAGAGTAACGTCACACATTTTTGAGAAAACGACGTATTTTTCTGATTTTTCTCACACAAACTAATGACGTAACAATCAATACCTGCTCACAAGAGCAGATAACTCTGCAATACAAAAAGACGGAATACTAAACACGAAAACCGCAAGAATGTCCACCTCACAAAACTTTCAGAGTAAAGTGCAACATACAGTTTGCACTTTTGTTTGATATTAACATATTAAATAATAATCATACATCATAATGGTAGATCACATAGCACCAGAAGAGTTTTAACTACAGTCTTTTCATTCGGTCGACAAGAAAATAGAAATGTGGTGATTATGTTATCAATATTGGTAGAAGCACCATGCATATCTGTTTTCACTATAGCACCGTCACCGTACTTTGCTGATCCAAAATTTCTGACCCGTTACAACTACTATCGTCATCCAAGGTGGATAGCCCTGACTTCGTCCCGTTAGACACAACATAAGAAACTGATTTTTCTACAGGTGGTTTATAAAGTTTATAGGCAATCACGAATAATATACTGGTGGTGATTTTCACTGCAAACACTATTATAAAGAAGTTTCGACTGAGTAAAGCGTTATCGTATATCCAACATGACGTTTTTTCTCCACATTTCTCCTGCCATATGAGACATGAACTGTCTATAACACTTCCAAACATGATGGGACCGGGCACTGTGCCTGTGTGATAGAAGAAAAGGAGACAATTATACAACATTGTTAATGTACAGGAACGAAGGATTTGGGAGTTATGTGTCATTTTTGGCCTCATTAAAAGTTAACATTTACTATATTGTTAAATTGGGGCGATTTCCTTTTTGGTGCAGATTTTTTCCATTAAATATGTAAAGATACTCTACCATAGCAACAAAATTGAGTTGCTATGGAGAAAAAGCCAAAATATTGTGTTTTGAGCAGTAAGCATGCAGAAATGAAAGCCTCAGCACGTTGCAAACAACAATTCCTTGCTACTAATGAACACTGGTATGACAATGTTTGAGAATTTTAAATGTTCATTTGTTTGTTGCCTGCGGAGGCTTTCAAAAATTGAATAGTGATTAGTTAATTTCCTTCAAAATGGCCAGTATTCAACCATATAGCGCACACCAGACGATATTCAAACATTTTATTATAAAAAAGCGGGTTTATGTCTCTCTTTGTAATGCCATATCTCCTAAACCAGTTGTCAGATGAATTTGAAATTTCATATTTGCGTACTTCATTTATTCCAGATTACGAATTTTACAACTATTTGACTAGACTGGCCCCCGTCTCTAGCATATTGAATTATAGAATTAACTTAACTCTAATACTTTTGAACATTTGGCTGTCTGATCCCGAGTCCTAAACTAGGGGGAGATAAGCTAGTAGTAAAATGAAGTTGAGAAATTCTTCATAAAAAAATTAGAGCTAGTAGCTATTCTAGGAAATGACCTTTAATGCCCCTAGTCCTTTGGATTGCAGACTACAGGAACAAAAAAAATCAAAGTGACTACGAACGAAACAGAAAAAGACTACTGTAAAGGGTTAAGTTTTCGTAGTGATCTAATTTTCGCGGTAACAATTTCTTTCGAGAAATGTACAACCCACGAAATACGAGAGTATTTATCCAATCTTAACGTTGCAATTTATGCCATGGCCAAAATATATATAATCCACGATAAATAGCCCCCGATGAATTGACAATTTAGCAAATATAAAATAATTTTATTAAGATTTTAGTTTTTTTGATCAAGATAAATAATGTCTTAGTGTATCGACAGTTGAAGAGAGCTCGAACGCGATTTTATGAATACGGATCACTATGAAATCTCCCAATCATGACGATAGATGGGTTTACCCAAGATATCACATGTAATGTTAAGGATCACCGTATCACTGGCAAAAACAGTTACGTACGCAATGAATGTTTAAGCAAATGTTGTTATGGTCCTATTACGCACATTGTGATGATAAATTTAATAAAGCCCGGTAGCAAATAGAAATGTGTGTTATAGGACGATAACAATATTTGCGAAAATATTCAATATCTATTTTTACATTTTGATAGTGTAGTGATGTTTTATTTAATTATTTCGAACAGTTCTCTGAACAGCAAACTAGGTGTTCACGACAATGAAATTGATGACGTTAAAAAGAGCTTGTTGCCGTTACAATAGCCAATGTTGTTATGGTCTCACAACAACATCTACTTTCTCAATGCATTGCGATGGAAGGATGCAGAGCAAATGTAAATTTTATACATTGGAAACTGTTCCAGTATAATCATAGCTTTGTTAAAATCATTTTGGAAAGAAAACCATAACAATAATAAATAATAATAATTCGAGGTTCTTATATACCGCTTTATCACGACCTATTTCGTAGGTCGTCTCAAAGCGGTTCACAAATTATTATCCGTGGTTATAGGGGCTTTGCAACCATCCAATATCTTTCTCAACTCATTGGAGAGCATACAGCCGGTGCTGCCATTTCGGCACGCACAATTCTAGCTAGCACTGCCCAACCACGTACTCATTTACAGCTGAGTAGACTGAAACAAGCGGAGTAAGGTATCTTGCTCAAAGATACAACACAGTGCCATGACTGGAACCTGCAACCCTTCGGTCTCGAGCCCGGCGTCCTTCCACTAGACTACCGTGCCTACATGTGCATACCTTAGTACTAGGGTAGTATCCTTGCTCACTCGTGCTTATTGTATCAAAAACGAAAGTAAAGTGAGGCAACTGTATGCACAGGCGCATGGATCCCTTTACTTATAATATTAAAAAATAGGGGTCTCCTATACTAATAAAGCGATCCATGCCCCTGTGACTGTATGCATACAATTCCACAGTGGAATTATCTAGCGCTCTGGCTGCAGCGGGACACGGATCTATGCATAGTTATCCATGTTGAATTATATTTAATAAAAATATGGAATTAATCCGACAATGACTCACCCATGAGTCTGACGACAAACCACTGGATTCCCAGGGCAAATGTTCTCTGCTTGTCGTGAATGCATCTGAAAAAGAAAGCATTATTGTTGGTATTGTCAATAAAACAAAATTCAGTGTCCATTGGTTAAATTGTCAAAGGAGCATTTCGAAACAAACAATTGTGAAAACTTATAATTCTAGGAGGTTTCAAACGGTGTCACTAATTATGGAAACGTGTTGGAAGTACAAAATTGATATATTAAAAACTAAATATTTTTAAAGAAGTGTGAAATTAAGCAAAGACCTGTAAAACATACGGAGTTCATAATTATTTCAAAACATTTTCAAAGTCCCGTTTACCGGTTTGGAAACTTTTAAAATTATATGGCATATATACATGCGAGATATCAGAGAAGGGTTATATTTATATGACACTTGGAAATCTTTGGATCCAATTTAAAGCCCTAAAAATGAGAATAAAAGGATATTGTCTTCTTTGAATTTTAACATTTTGCTAATAGATCTAAGTATATTTAATGAAACTGTGGACAGGAAATGATCAGAAATAACTCAGTTGTGGTTACTCTTCGGCTGTTCTAGCTGATATTTACTGGAAATAGTGTATTCAAAAACAGAAAAATGCATCAGAAATAATTCAGCGAATAACTCTGTGGCTGCTCTAGTTTGCCTAAACATGTAACGGTGTATTCGAATAAAAGATGTATGCTAGCTGAGATGAATACCAACAGAAATAAAATTACGTCCGAGACCCTTGACCAAAGTTTTCATTTTGTTGAAGTAAATCGTTGACAGATTATTTCATATGGGACCAAAACCACTAATATACATTAACGTGTAATCGGTTTAATATAAGAAGTATTAAAGCTCCGATCCACCCACGTCTCCTTTTGTTGACGTCATATAACTGCGACTTGTTTGCGGAAAATGTGTAAAATTACACCCAGATGCATTGTTGTCATGGACACATACCAGTCCACGGTCTATGGTAAAGTAATGAGATGGTTATTCCACCTATCACGAACAACAACGTTTATTGAGTATATGTCCAGTGTTAATGATAAAGACGTATACTATAGATGCTAGCATATACCTATTTATTTAATTGTATCCATATCTATTAGCTAAGCTATGAACAACCTGTCGTAATTGTACTGTGTCTAGTATGTAATGGTATTTCTATACATTGCGGCCCAGATATTCATAATCAACAGGTGATCTGTCACTATGACCATATCGAGCTGTTGACCACTGAAACATGGATACCTTATTTTAAAGGAGGTGATGTGGTGTAGTGATATGACCTGCGATTATTTCTAGGCTAGGCGATTCGGTGACGCAGGTTATGAGTTCGAAGCCGAGACTGAACACAAGTCATAAAATCGTCCTTCTTCGTCATGTGTGTTTATATATCTGATAATAATGGAAATTATGCAAGTTTCTATGTGGTACAGCGGTGTTTCTATTTGCCTCATTCAAAACGTCAGAATGGCTATTTACGCTATTGGTAAACAGGAAAAATGGTTATTTACGCTGTGGGTAGACAGGAAAATGACGCTTCCCGTGAAAGTATACAGTTTAGAACTGCATAGTCTTGGCTTTCCTTAACCAAAGTGGTATATGGCGAGCAGCGTATTAACAAACAAGCCGAGCTCTCACCAGTCTTGAAACAATCAATTATAAATTGAAACTGTGACGCATTTGACCATGCCTGTGTTTTGTCCTATAAACCTGTGCAAGAGGAATTCTTAAGGGGCACTGCCTTACAGACTTATATTGTGTGTCAGCTCTAAATCATAGGTTGCAAAATGCAGTTGTAATTAAATCAAATACTGTTCAAATAAACAGGGCATGAGATTTCCCCCGATAATTTCCAACCAGCTCGGTGTGACGCCTATCGACGCTGGCATGGTTCTCCTCGTTCATCTCCACAGTGCCCCAATCAATATCATGCTAGTCTGCATTCAGCTTGTGGGAGACAGTCAACATTTAACAGTGATTACACCTTTCATTGATATCGGTATGGCCTCTCAGTAATAACAATTGAAACCTATCACTCCCAGCCCGATTTTCGCGATACTATTGATAGATTGGATCAATGCCGGTCATTTTCCGCTAGGTACTTATTTCATCCTTCATGGAGTCCATTTGTCATCATATTTGGCTTAATTATCCCAATACTGCAAAAAACATACTTTTTCGCGAGGATATACGAAAATTTTGATTCACTAAATAATTTCAAGTATTGATTGTTTATTTATATTTGACTTTAACACTATCAAGTGACAGTTTATATAATGAAACCCATTAAAACGCATCGTCCAATAACCTGTGAACATACTTATTTTTAGCGCATCAACGAATTTTAACAGATGAGTAAATTGATTATTTGGCGCAACCGCAAAATATTCAACAGAGAATTACTGCTGAAATATGCACGTTTGTAGTATACGCTTTTTCGTAGACTGGCTGGTTCTGAAAACAAAATAACGGATCCATTCAAACGCACATCCGACCCGTCAAAATCAGAATAACTGATTGATTCCAGTTCAAGTGACGCTGTATCGATTTTCATTGTATGTATCATCGACGTCATCAAAAGTGACGTCTGTATTGGGTTTCAATTAAAGCAATATTTATATTAACCCTTTCACCACTGTAGGCCATTATGGACTCATCCAGATCAATGCATGGGATAGTCTACTAAAGTTACATAGGGGTGAAAGGGTTAATGACACTCCAGTTACTGTCGACTTCCGTTAAAGTGACGCTGTTTTGTATTTACTGTATTTGTCATCAGTTTCAGCAGACTTGACGTTTTATCGGTTTCAACTGTGTGCATTTTTGTTGTATTATCGACGTCAACAAAAGTGACGTTGATATTGGATTTCATTTTATTTAGCACCAAATTTAGTAAAAGTTAAATTTTATTCATGTCACTTAATTTACAATTATTTACGTCTATTATAAACCTCAGAATAGGTGATATTTGTAACGGGTTTCCTTATATTTATCATCGACGTCAACAAACGTTCGTATTGTCTTTACTGTAAAAACAATCAATTTCAGCACAAGTGACGTCTGTATGTTTTCATTGTATTTGTCATCGACGTCAACATAAGTGATGTTTGTATTGTCTGTATTGTACACAGAATCAATTTTAGCACAAGTGACGTTTGTACCAGTTTTTCACTTTGTATTATCGATGTCAAGCGCCGTTCATATTTATGTCACCCCCTTTGGTTATCGTCATCGGCACAAGTGACGTTCGTATGTTTTCATTGTATATAGGTCATCGACGTCAACACAACTGATGCTTGTATTGTCTGTATTGTACACACAATCAATTTCAGCACAGGTGACGTTCGTATGTTTTCATTGTATCTGTCATCGACGTCAACACAAGTGACGCTTGTATTGTCTGTACTGTCCACACAATCAATTTTAGCGCAAGTGACGTTTGTACCAGTTTTTCACTTTGTATTATCGATGTCACCCCCTTTGGTTATCGTCATCGACACAAGTGACGTTCGTATGTTTTCATTGTATCTGTCATTGACGTCAACATAAGCGATGTTTACATTGGTTTCGCCGTATTGATCGTCCACTTCAGCACAATGACAATGCACTGCTCATTGATCAATAGAAATATTATGTGGCATCGGCTTCCGTGTATGTAACAAAACCATTGCTTTAATTACCGGCCTAGCCTGTAAATCTATCGATTGGCAGGGAAAGGCTTAATCGTACCACAGTACTATCACGCTCAGTATAAACGCTTAATGACGCGTTGTACGGATCACGTGACCAGCTGCGCGAATCACGAGACCGGGGGTACAGATCATGCGCGAATCACGTGACCGAGGGTACAGATTACATGTGAAACATGCCAAAATGCTTCGTGACGTAATATGCTGATTACGTGACCTGGAGAATGGATCACATGTGAAACATGTTAAAATGCTTTGTGACGTGTTATGTTGATCACGTGACCAGCTGCTCGAATCAAGTGACCGGGGATACGGATCACGTGACCAACATGTAAGATCTCGTGATAATTTTTTTTTCGAAACACACGTGAAAAATACCAAAATTCTCATCACCATCACTTAAATAATGATAACGTATCCCCCTGTATGTTTATATAACGTATTCCCCTGTATGTTTATATAACGTATCCCCCTGTATGTTTATACAGTGTATTTTATATGACACAATGAACACAAATGTAATTGTGATATGTGACACTTAAATAAACAAATTGAACTTGAACTTGAACTTGAACTTTATATAACGTTGGTGTATTCAGCAGGTAGTTATGCAATATTTTATGAAGCAAACGGGAGTATTAATTATATAGGACAATTCAACAGTGATAAGTAAACCAAATCAAAGCCAAATTCAATTGGTAACCTCCAGAATAAAAAGCCACGTCCTTGCTATTGTCGAGATGATGATAAGTTGCAAGATTAGGAAGACACTGCCGAAACGAAAATAATGTAAGTAGAAGAAAAATGAAGTTTATGAGTTCCAAGTGTTGCATTGCTTTCCTTTTAACATTTTTAGCCAACGCTCTGAAATAAACCTTATACTTTAGATATATTGTCAGTGCCTTTATTTCTCCTTTGATATTATGTTTGATCATGCTTGAGGTTTATAGTTCCAAGTGACTTTTATTATATTCAATAGATGACAACAGTATATAGAAAAATATTATGCAAGAAAGTCAACACACACAAAAATAAATGAAGGAGACAGATTAAAAAAACACAACAGCAGCGACAGATAGAAACATCAACACAAAAACAAAACAAAAATATATAAACCCCGACACAGACGGAAATATTGTTCCGGAAAGGTACTAGTACCTCCTTCCTAACGAATTACATCTCTTACAACGCCACCGGAAGATTGCAGAAAATGTAGGAAGGTCACAAATCATTAAAGACGAAGATAACAAGTGGAAGCTATTGCAGATCATGTACAAACCCTATGTTTAGCACTAACTATGACGACCGCCTTCTGTGTCAATTAATGGTCTCATTATCAATTATAGTCGCGTTTTATCTTACCTTAGCGTCACCGACAGCGCAGGGGGTGACTGCGCGAACCGGAAGAAGATGGCGAAGAGCAGGACTGGGAGGAAAATGTAAAGGAGAAGGCACGATTCTTGGCATTTACCGCTTGTGACAGTGGTGCTTGCATTCTGTGGCGAGTATCCCTCGTACTCGGTAAGACACGAACAGTTTGTATATTTCTGAAACGGTAAAATATTTCTAACATTAAAATATCGCTACTGGGATGAAAGAGATATTGTTTACCAGGAAATTTCGCTCCGTCAACCGTTCGCCTTTCGCCCATGAACTTATTTTTCAAATTTAATTACCATGTTTATTATGCTGTTCACTTGTATTCGCTGTGATGATAAATTCGCCCATATAACGGAGGGCGAAAAAGGCGAACATCATTCCGCAGCAATCCTTTCCCGGTATTCAGAATTTTAACACATATTGCCTGGCACTGTGTTATCTGTCGAAAGACTGGCACTGTGTTATCTGTCGAAAGACTGGCACTGTGTTATCCATCGAAAGACTGGCACTGTGTTATCTATCGAAAGACTGGCACTGTGTTATCTATCGAAAGACTGGCAATGTGTTATCTATCGAAAGACTGGCACTGTGTTATCTATCGAAAGACTGGCACTGTGTTATCTATCTAAAGACTGGCACTGTGTGATATATCGAAAGACTGACACTGTGTTATCTATCGAAAGACTGGCACTGTGTTATCTATCTAAAGACTGGTAATGTGTTATCTATCTAAAGACTGGCACTGTGATATATATGAAAGACTGGCACTGTGTTATCTATCTAAAGACTGGCACTGTGTTATCTATCGAAAGACTGGCACTGTGTTATCTATCTAAAGCCTGGCACTGTGTGATATATCGAAAGACTGACACTGTGTTATCTATCGAAAGGCTGGCACTGTGTTATCTATCTAAAGACTGGCAATGTGTTATCTATCGAAAGACTGGCACTGTGTTATCTATCTAAAGCCTGGCACTGTGTGATATATCGAAAGACTGACACTGTGTTATCTATCGAAAGGCTGGCACTGTGTTATCTATCTAAAGACTGGCCATGTGTTATCTATCGAAAGACTGGCACTGTGTTATCTATCGAAAGAAAGTTATAAGTAAAATAGTTTCAAAGATGACGATTAAATCATTAATCATGTAAACATTTCACAACTTTGTTATTGCAATGCAGACTACCGACGTCTGTTCAGATTTAAGTAGGACAAATAAAAGCAAACAGAATTTGCATTACAATGCGTGTTGTAACTATAAGCATTTCCATGCTACAGTAATAGGAGTCTGGGCTCATTTTCAACGTATGGTTAGATTAACTGATCACGATTTTTTTTTATCAAAAAATCGAATTTTAAGAAATACCTCAAAAATAAAGAAATAACATATGTATTCGGTGCTGGTAATAGTTTTGAACAGATGTTTACAGTTTTAGTTTTGAGTTTCATTTTCAGCATAAAATAGATTAGAATTTTGCGATAATTTGTTGCTAAGCGGACTGAATTTTGACAACGGCTCTGCACTGAACATATTTTTACAACATCAGTAATAAGGTGAACAACTAATTAGTTTTTCCGAATTAATGTTCAAGAAATAACCGTCACTGAAATATAACATGATAGTGCGCTAGTTGTTGCATGATTATGAAGTCAAAAAATGGTGTAAATTTAAACTTAATTTAAATTAAAGAATGGTTAGATTTCATTCTTGGTGCAGAAATATTTCAACAACTTTCCATTACAAACGTGTAATATATAAACAGTTTTTGACGGCAAGGAATTACAATGTATATGAACAGCATGTGGGTAATATTGATTTTATTTATTCTTCAGCAATAATATAATATATTATATAATATATTATAATATAAATAATACATAACTTAATTTTATATACAATCATCGATTAAACAAATCTCGGACTGAAAAGGCAGATTAATCAATTAAAAATGTCAGTTTTTATCAAATATTCGCGCCACTTACCGATCTGTCGGCATTGTAACCCTGACAACCGGCATGACAGGGTGAGAAGTAGTGGACATGCTGGTCGCTACATACGGGCTGGTAGAACTCGGAAGAACAGGAACAGTTGGAGTTACACGATCGTGACTCTAGGTTTGGAAGTTTGTCAGTATAACTGAAAAAACGAAATCAGAGGCTTAACTATTCCTGTCCCTCTGCAGCCAAAACAGTAAAGATCCATCTGTAGTGTGAAAGATTCATGTAGCACAACCAAACAGTGTTTATCTGTGACGTTTCGATGACTAGTAAGGTATGTACTCTGTCACCTTCATCAGACAAATGACCAGTGAAGCGTATGTACAAAAAGGTATAAAATATGTGCGAGTTGTCCACAAATCTATGTCGATTCCGCTGCGATGTAAGCATATGTACAATGAATTGTTATACATGTACCGAAATGACTCCATTCAGCTACGCTTTGTTTAATACTTGGTCATACAGCTAGCCGAATCGACATCGAATTGTGGACAACTCGAACCACTATTCAGATTTCCTTGGAATAAGCATTGAAAAGAGGATGAATCCAAAGATTAAGCAAATGAAGATAAATCTGCAATTTCCGAATGGCATTGATGCATTTTATAATGTAAGTAAGTTTAGGTTCATTACCATATTACCTGATAGGGTATTATGATAATTTATATCAAACAAAGAAATTCTGTCAAGATTGCTATATACAAAGGTGTGCATCAATGTTACTTTTGCTTGGACTGTCTCTAAACGTAGAAACCTCTTAACCCTTTCACCCCTATATAACTTAAGTAGACTCTACCATGCATTGATATGGATGGGTCCATTATGGTCTACAGTGGTGAAAGGGTTAAGAGTTTTACTGTAGCAGTACATATCTTGATACATTTTGTTTAATATACCGTAAAATTTATTTACCATATAAATACCAGTTTTCTCGGAGTGTTGATTCTTTGAATCAACCTTATTTAAAGTTAATAGTTGTATCAAGCCCAAATCATTATAAGTTACCTAATGGAGTATTGCGAATTAACTCCAACTATAGTATCCTGCTCACATCGGATCCACACACAGACATCTAGGATGGCTGCTAGGAGACACACGATGATGATGAGGCGCAGCATCCCTCTGACCTTGAGATTAAGTCGCTTGCACAAATAGCCACTCGCCAACTGACCACCAGCAGCGCCAGGAACTGCGACAATCCCTTTCAAGGATGGAATAATGTAGCATTAGACATCTAGCGTGTTTTACATTTTATTGGTATGTGGAATACGAAGGAAAAGTTCTTTGGATCAAAAATAAAGAGATGCTGCGATGAAACGAAGTTATCTTCATCAGATACACAGATATATAACTCCATTCATAAAAGCAATACCCATGACTTTATTTTATACATATAAATCATTTCAAATTATTATAATGGCTGGCATTGATAACCATTGAATTAGACCAGCTAGTTATTATGAAATAGTTTTTGAATACACTTGAAAATCATTTAACCAGTCGTGATTGAAAGTTAAAAGAAAGTTTATTACAAGGTCACGCCCTTCTCATTAGGCCACTCTCGAATCACTGCGATACGTTCCTCTTACTAGGTTTTAACCTTCTCACTAGACCACGCCCCTCTCGTTTGGCCACTCCCCCATTTACTAGGCTACGTCCCTCTTAACTAGGTCATGCCCCTCTACTAAGACCTATCATCATTCTCTAGCCAACGCCCCTCTAGCTTTAACTATCTGGTTAGGCCGCGCCCCTGTCATTAGACAACTCCCCATTCACTAGGCTACGTCCCTTTAACTAAGATATACCTTTATCACTAGGCCACACCCTTCTGTCTATGCCACACTTTTGATAATCAATTATTTGTCATTCCAGTGACATAGAGAGAGGAGAGTGGTTTTACAAGGCTAAACTATGCCACTAACTTCTCACTTTTCTAAGGCCAAATCATCTTCTTGGGGTCCAAGACCCTCCAACAATATAGCTCCAGTCTATATTCGGGTCATTATGGTCTTTCTAGCAACACCTCTCACATGGCCACGCCCCTCTCACTACGTTACTTCTCTCTCAACAATCACTCCCTTCTTTCCAGACCGTAACTTTATCGCCCCTTTCACTCTTACATGTACAAGGCAACTATATGTCATAACCCTTTCACTCTTGCAATGCCACTCCCATCTTTCAAGATGGCCATACCCCTCCCATTTCACCACTCTCCTCTCTCTATGCCACTCTGTTCTTCCTAGAGTCTATGAAGAACGGAGTGGCCTAGAGAGGAGAGTGGTTAACCACACCTCTTTCACTGGGCCATAGCCCTTTCACTTAACCATTTTCCTCGCGCAAGAACACCTCCCTCACCATAGTGCACTCCGTTCTTTTGGATGTATCTCATTTGGTCACACCCCTTGCACTCGGCTGCCATCCTTTCATTTGAATAATCTCCTCTCCCTCTCGATGAGACATTCTTTCTGTACCACACCATTCTCACACGGTTATCCCCTTTCACTCTAGCAAGGCTTTTCTATGATATCATCCACTCACGTTTCAAGTTCATGCCTATCTAAGACCACGCCCCTCTCTCTCTACACCACGCCTCTCTATCCAGTCTTTTCGTTATAAACCACTCTCCTTTCAAAAGTCCATCTAGGTCTCCTCTACCTAGACCATTTCCCCGATCAAGACCACTCCTTCCTCCTATAATAGTTTACTGAAAAGAACAGAGCTAATTAACTGCCGAACTTTGTACTCTTTTTTGCTAACTCACCTCCGAGTATTGAAGCCCAGGCGGCAGTGGTACCGAACTGGTTCTGAATAAGCTTCGGCATGAATGTAGCAAACCCGGATGTTGACAGACCCTCGGCTGCCCCTGCCAACGTTATTAACATGAATGCTGGATTGGTCAGTAGGATCCAGAAGGAACGCGGGAGGTCCTTTAGGGAACTACCTATCTCTTCCTTACTCTTGGAATCAATCACGTGATCATTATGCATTTGAGACACACGCGTATCCCTAACTTGTTTGGCGGCTGAAATAGACATAGAAACAAACAGTTCAACAACTTATATCCAGTAATAGGTCAACGAAATGTTTATTGCTTCGAGAAGAAGAAGAAAAGCTTTTACTGGGAAAAATAAATCTGTTACAACATGAAGATAATGATTATGTATCCAGTATGATCTTACACTATTATTTAAAGAGGCTTTTAAGAGTACTGTGTGGTCCTGTGTAACATTCTGGTGTTGTACCGTGTGTAAGCCTATGTTATATCATTGTTTTGAGAGTACTGTGTGGTCCTGTGTAACATTCTGGTGTTGTACCGTGTGTAAGCCTATGTTATATCATTGTTTTGAGAGTACTGTGTGTTCCTGTGTAACATTCTGGTGTTGTACCGTGTGTAAGCCTATGTTATATCATTGTTTTGAGAGTACTGTGTGGTCATGTGTAACATTCTGGTGTTGTACCGTGTGTAAGCCTATGTTATATCATTGTTTTGAGAAATTTAAGAGCAGTGTGTAAACCTGTGTGACATTGTTTCCACAGATCTTTGAGGAAACCGTGTGGGCCTGTATGGCAGTATTGTGTTGAGCATCCCCGATACTCCAGGGATTACGCTCACTTTCACTTTCTCCACCCCTGGAATATATCATAGCAAAACTGAAGGCACTCTCAGGTAAAAATATCTGACAAATCGCTAGGCTGATAGCTGTCCTTTGAAGATTAAAGGAGCAACATCCGACTTCAAAGCCAGTAAATGGTACCGTTACGTGACAGAGAGATTCTTGTGATATACATCAAAGAATCGAACTAGTCTTAATGTCTAATCCACAAGGAAGTGCAGTGTGGTGAGTTTTTAATTACATAATTTATGTAACTATGACATATTCAAGGGGTGCAGAGAGCGGACGTGAGTGTAACTCCTGGAGTATGGAGGATGGGTGATAATTAAGAGGCTTTGGATAACTGGCGATGTGCATGCAGTTAACACTAACGTGTGTTCCCGTGTTTCAGTTGATAAAATTATGTCGGTTGAGGTTGTCTCATCACTTGGTTGCTCAAGCCTCTTTCTTCTTTTCCCAATAAAATAAATATAAGATGACACCCATCTTTCCTATGTTCTCATTGGTTAGATCGTAATCACGTGGTTCGGTGATTTTAGATATTGACTTTTTGTTACTGTTTTTAGAAACAGCAGCTTAATATTCACTTCATGATGTCATTTCAATTGTAATGTCACTATGCTCTCTGGCAAATGTAGCACGCCCTCCTCCGTACAATTTTCATACGTTCCATCTTGTGTAATGATCAAAATCAGTATTAAACAACTAATTAAACAATAAGGACTTTTATTTCGGTCACTATATGGTTTAGTGATATTCACCTCGACTTCGTCTCGGTCAATATCAGTTTCTCATGTCCATATAGTCACATATTCACCTCAACAAAAGTCCATAACTGAGAACTATATTGATCTGCTGCCATGTATTACTTGATATATGCGTGTCGTAATGTTTATGTTACATGAATACGAAATTATATCGACTTCCTGGTCTCTAAAACATGTTGTACTTAATTGTGTTTACGGTAATGTACGTTGTATACATGCGAATGTTGCTATGTTAATGTCATCATTGTTTATGCATACAGTGTGTGCTTTTGTCAGGGTCAGGTAACACTGTTTATGAAAAAATAAATAAAAAAAATCATGCCTTATTTTTATCATTATATTATTGTATTTGGTTAGCCATTACAACTAGCGAATAGCTCTGTAACGTTATTGTGCTGGCGGTCTGTTAATATACAAACATACGTTATACAGGAATAATAATCTAGGTATTCCAATTTAGTATGCCCAGCTCTACAAGTGTGTACCGGTATGCAGAAAGTAAGTAAGATAAAGACAGACGTAATGTCTTGTGTATTTCAACATGTGTTTTAGATGAACAGTCGATGACAGAATTGCCGACTCATAAGCGATAATAATATGAATATAACTGCAGTTAAACCTCGTTATACTGCTATCATATGTCCAGTGAAATTTTGGCGTTATAAAGGGTTTTGGCGATAAATAGTGAGAAACATTGAAAAGGAATTCTTACAAAATCGAAGAAAATTGGACTTCGAAATATATTTGTGGTAAACGGGAAGGTTTTACGGTATTCTAAAACAACTGTATTAGATATAGAACATGATGACGCCATCTGGTGGACAGACTTGTAATTAGACATGATAAAAGACAACTTGTGTTCTATGGCCCGCACATCTGCCGGATGCACTTTCGTGCGTAAATGCACGCGCATGCACGTGTAATGCTGAGTGCTCTGTTGGTCTAGGTTTAGTTAGCATACTAGCAATTTATAAACAAAACTCTTCTTTGTTACAAAAATGATAATTATGAAAAATAAATTCTTCTAGTTTTGGGTGAAGGAATATAATACATCCTGCTAAGATAAATTTATGTTTACATCCTTACTTTATTTATTTTACAAAATTGTGCAACAAGTTTTGACAAGTCAATCTTGTTTGCCCAATTGGTAGCGCGCAGGAGGTTTAAATGTGAGTGAAAACCGGAGAACACGGGAAAAAAAAACATCTTCCTGTTTTGGTTACGAAGGAAATGTGGGAATCCATTTTATTCGGGTCACCATAGAAACCAGACTGTCTGGTACAGCTATTTAACGTACATGACAGATCTAGTTTTATATAGCATTAAAGACAAACATAATGACCAATCATCCTTAAAAACTGTGAATTTAAATTTTTTTTCAGTGATATGTATTTTCGCGATTCCCATTGCAAGTATAACCGGAACAATTATTATTAACATATCACTTGAGACACACGTGCTGAGTGAAACACAAATTATTTTTTTCTAAATAAGGCCATATCACGCAACTTAATGTGCGCAAAAAAACGTAATTAGTATAAGGGCAGTGACTGGGGGAACGTTTATTGGCATATGCATCACTTACCGGGTAATTCCACACCGTAGGCCGCCATAGGGATGGCCACTGAAACCATGACCAGGGATGCCACTAAGAACCCAACCCACCACGCTCCAACCCATCGGGGGTCAGTCGGGGTCAGGTGTCCGCTGCAACAAGGTCAAAGGTCACATTATACAACTAACTCGTACCATTAACAAAGATGTTCCTTTTAAAACACGAGGTCAAAGATCACGTTATGCAAATAGCTCGAACAAAATTCAAATACGTTCCGCCAATAACACGAGGTTATGATGAACAAATAATTCATACAATATGTAATGACGTTGTATGAAAAACATTGGGTCAAAGGTTACATTATCAAATAACACATACAGTGTTATTCCCACTACAACACGAGATCAAAGGTCACAATATACACATAACACGTACAATAAAATACGTTCTAGCTAAGGCACGAGGTCAAATGACCACATGATACAATGTTGGTCCCGCTACCACGCAAGGTCAAAGGTCACACTATACAAAGAATACATACAATATTGATGCATTTAAAACACGAGGTCAGAGGTCATATATACAAAAGAATATGCAATATCCCCAACCCCACCTTTCAGCACAAGGTAAACGATTATATTATTGCATTTTTACCGAAAGCGGACTTAAACCCCTAAAACATGTAAAATTACTCTGAACACCTTAGTTTAGGTCCAAATAAAGCTGTAACAAATTCGCAGGTCCCTGTGGTAATTTACACGTCTCAGCTGTAACAAATTCGCACGTCCCTGTGGTTTCGAGGACGTTAAACCAAAACAAACAATTATACACAGGATACTGATGACTGTACATGTTTATCCATTTGACTTGAACCAAGTCTGTCTGAGTAATCTGACAGGCTACCACCAGGCATGAGAGCAGACTTATGTTTCACCCACATGTTGATATTTTTGCAAAAATAGGTCACATATGGCTATCATTAAAACATAATTAAAAATGTCGTATAAATTGCTTCATTAAACGTGTAAATAGGGTAACGTGGCAGAGATGGAGTGGCCTTAATTAAATGTATAGGCCTCACTTCGCTTATTACCTGATAAGAACGACACCCTCTGCAGCTGCATGCTAATTTAATCAAATATTACTATTATTATTCAAAACTCGATATAAATGTAACAGGGTCAATCACCAAAACTTGATAACATTTCGGAAGTGTTTTATCATCTTTTTACATTTTTTTTTTTTGTCCTTTTTCAGATATATGGCCAGCATGAAACTTGATAAGCTACCGAGTCAGAGGAAGGAAAAACAATAACAAATAGTGGTGAATGACCTGTTTTAATTACCATAAATATGCTAATTTACTTCCCTTTATATTACCATAACATTGGCCACATGGTAAAACACTTTTATTATGTGATATGCCCCGCAAAGTCCTGTGTAACAGGTGACACAACAAATCATTTATTCCCCAGGAACTACTTTTATTTTGACCTCGATTTGAACCTTAGTACACACGGAGGCTGCACAAACGTAAACAATGTAAACAAAACATAAACATATGACGCTGTCGTGAACAGCCCACCAATGTTTAAAATCTACTTAAATCACTCTCATATCTTATTACGTTTATTTGATCAGGCATCTATGAGGGAACTATATCTTGTAGCGCTGATATCAAAACTTCTACGTGAACAGTTATTGATTCATTATTTTCCTACGCAATTTTTAATAATGGCAGTCCTTGTCCATTCGATTGAAAGGTAAACAAACAGATGTCTCTGGTGTTTTTGATGTTATCGAATGGGATATTGCAAAAAGAGTACCGTATTTGAACTAACAAAGGCGCGTGCCCTAATATGGACGCCCTTTCTTTCAATTATCCGAGCCCTGCGCTCTTATTATATCAAATTACGGTATATGTTTGCGGTTTAAAATGCAGGTATCTTTTTGGACTCAGGTCAGAGCATTATTGACTCAGCATAGCCTTAGCAAATACAACCGGGCCTTTCTACCCTCGCTAAATAAATCTTGTAATTCAATACTCTAAACACACGTATTCTCTGTTTACTTCGGTAGATATGTATTTATATGTTCATTCGCAAAAGCTCTTGATTGCTAATTCAAATAATACTTAGTAAATCATGCATATTTATAAACAAATTAATTTTAGTTGCTTTTCGCCAATATCAGTTAGATTTCGTCGACTAAAATTATCGATCAAACAAGAGGCCCAATGAGCCTGTATCGCTCACCTGGTATAAATATAATACTTGTAATCTTAAAAGTGGACTAAAATACAGCTACAGGCAGAATATCAGTGTTTGATTCATAAGAACCTATTAAAGGTTTAAACATATGTCGCCTGTGACCTTGAATGTCGAACAAGGACATTAGGTTGAACAGAGTTCCAACCCAGCATGCTTCTGGCAAAATGTCATTTCCATGGACCTTTCGGTTATACAGAACAAATCATTTAAAGATTTAAACATATATTGACCACTGTAACCTTGAATATGGGCGAAGGTCATTCACTTGGTAGTCCTTCATCCCAGCATGTTAATGGCCAAATATCATCACCCTTGGCCTTTTGCTTATTGATAAGAAGTCGTTTAAAGGTTTTTAACATATTTGACCCCTGTGACCTTGAAAAAAGATAAAGGTCATTCATTTGAACAAACTTTGTAGCCCTTCATCCCAGCATGCTTCTAGCCAAATATCATGACCATAGGCCTCTTGGTTATTAAAAAGAAGTTCTTTTAAAGGTTTTTAACATATTCAACCCTTGTGGTTTTTAACATATTCAACCCTTGTGACCTTGAATATAAGTCCAGGTCATTCATTTGAACAAACTTGGTGACCCTTCACCCGAGCATGTTACTGGCAAAATATCATCATCGTATACCTCTTGGTTATTCAAAAGAAGTTGTTAAAAAAAATCATTTGGACAAATTCGGTAGTCTTTTATTCCAGCATGCTACTGGCCAAATGCCATCATCATCCTCGGCATTTAGGCTATTCGGAAAAAAGGTTGTATTACAGGTTTTTAACATATTTGAGCGCTGTGACCTTGAATATAAGTCAAGTTCATTAATTTGAACAAATTTGGTAGTTCTCCATCCCAGCATGCTCCAGACCCAATTTCAGTACCCTGGGCCTTTTGGTTATTGAGAAGTGGTTTGAAGATTTTACGACATTTGACCCCTGTGAACTTTAAAGTGGGTCAAGGTCATTCATTTGAACAAACTTAGTAGTCTTTCATCCCAGCATGCTACAGGCCCAATTTCAGTACCCTGGGCCTTTTGATTATTGAGAAGAAGTGGTTTAAAGTAAAATATTGACGCCGGACGACGGATGGACGACAGACGCCGCACCACGGCATAAGCTCACTTTGCCCTTCGGGCCAGGTGAGCTAAAAACGAAATTGTCGAAAGCCACACGGTAACGAGTTTGAATAAGTAATGCTGGTCTTTTAACAAATTTAAACTGAATTGGTTTAAACGAACTAAACAGAAATTCAGTGGGCGAAGATGGACTTAATTTTAACAAATTTATAGCAGTTCATAGGGTGGTGTTATCCGTTTTGTCATAATTCAAATACATTTAATTGAAATTCATGGAGTGATAAAGGTTGGTTATTAAACAAATTCAACGACAGTTCATGGGGATAATGCATTGAGTTAGCTTCAATTAATTCCCAGTCGTCGGGATCCTTAATAGCACTTCAGCTCCTATGTAGCTTGAGTAAACTCTTCCATCCATTGAGTCCAATATAGTCTATAGTGGTGAAAAAAGTAACGTATTAAGGATCCCTGTCCCACTGAACTGTGTTTTTCTTATATGCAATTAATAACACTCAAAATACTGTTGTTGGTTATATTTTCTTTACTTCATCTCTACCATTACTCATAAAAGTTCCGCAAGCTTTTCTTTTCAGAAATGATTAATCAAAGCTATATCATGCCGGAAAAAAATCCAATACTTTGTGACAGTTTAAGGCAGCGGCACAGAGATCCTTAAATGTGGTGCAAACATAGTCTAACACAAAGCAAGTGTTTAAGGAAATGAAACACGGCGTGCATAAAATGTGTATAAACCAAACAGTAAGAAGCACAAGTTACCTGTTACCTGCTGGCTCATTGAAGTCCACATACACGTTCAGCATCTGGCCTCCAATGATGTATCCAAGGGCGGGGCCAAACGTAGCGAAGGCGTAAAATATACCTGGAAAAATAAACAACAATAAAAAGGGCGAGGCAAAACGTAGCGAAGGCTTAAACTATACCTTGAATAATAAATAAAAATAAGAAGGGCGTGACCAAACGTAGCGAAGGCGTAAAATATGCCTCGGGGAATGAAAAACGACAACAAAAACAAAATGTATGGACTGGAAGTTGTGTAAACCATTATTTCACTGTGACCACGCCCATATAGTTGATATAGAACCTACATATTTGTCCAGAACATCTTTACATATGAATATTATTAATCTTTCATGTTTTACAACTTAAAGTTATATATCACATTCAGACATTCAGCATTAAACATGGAATCAATAGATGCGAGACAGAAACGACCATATTTAGTCAGAGTTAGACACACTCACAATAAGTCAGTCAGACAAGCCTACATTGATATACCCATATATTGTTCATCAGACACGCCCACATTATGTTAATTTGAAACGCCCATGTCAGGTTCAGTAGACACGCCCACAATAAGACACGTCCACATAAAGTCAGTGTGACACGCTCACATCTATAGTTGGATGCCGGCTCGCCAAAATTAACATGTCCACGTCATGTTTTAGTCAGACACGCCCACATTATGACTATTAAACACGCCCACATCAAGTTAGAGTCAGTCACGCCCACAATATGCAGAATTAGTCACGTGCACAATAAGTTGCAGATCGACACAGTTTAGATTCATGCTTACCTATATACATGGGTGATGATGTTGCTGGCACGCTGTCGTCCATCAAAGACACGCCCACAATATAAAGTGTGGTCCCGCCCACTCCGTGTAAGGCCTGCCCAAGGAGGAACACGTACAGGTAGTGCTGCAGGCTCTCGTCAGTATCGCACGTGTTAGGTTCTTCCATCTCTACAATGATGTCATTATAAATAATATAATCAAAAGTATTTCGTTATCCCTAACTTTGGTTTCAGATCGAATTTAGTTTTACCAATATCCATTACAAGTAGTTAATACTGATAAATTTAGCAATATATCGAATCTGTATTCGATTATTTCAAAGAAATTATATCAGCACCTTGCATTTTTCTATTTGTAATTTCGAAAAAAAAAAAGGATCAAATTAAATCTTAGTAAAATTAGTTTACAATAATGAATGAATTTAAGTTGAAAAAACCAAATGTCAGCAAATTTCAGACTTTGGTCATTCACATTGGTAAACCATCTGAAGTTAGATTATTCTGTATAAATAACCTTCAGCTACCGGCCAAAGGCATATGCTTTAAATGTCAGACTCAGAACAAAGTTGAATATATCTGACTATTGTTTTAGATGTTGTATTTTGTGTTCTGTAGTTTTTTCACGTTCGTGTCTTGACATGCATGGATGGTTTGGGCGATGGGTCCATCAAAATAAAACATTTCATGTGAATCATTTGATCGTGATTTTTATTTTCTATTTTGAACAAAATTTTGAATACTTCCCCAATATCATTATTAATAAAATGTGCAGAAATTAAATTAAAAAAATCTTTAGTTCTTTCATCGTCCCATCCGTTTTTTATTACCAATTAGGAAGAAGCCTCTATCTCATGACAGAAAACTAGTTTTGCTTTAAGGATTCCTGTCCCACTACACTTTGGTTTTACAGTTACCTCCCCTTAACTTCCGTTTTGATAGATACTTCCGATGACTAGGTAGCACAATCGGTTAGAGCTATAGTTTAACATTTTTTTAAGTCCAGGGTTCGAATCCCAGTCTAGTTCCACTGGTTTTTTTACACTCAAAACACTATAATCGAATGTATGTGTTTATTTCATCTTTATTATTTCTCATTAAAGTTCCGTAAGGTAGTTTTCCTTTCAGCACGGACTTAGATAGGAATGATTTTTCCAAGCAAAAGTCATGCCGGGGGAAAAACAACTTCCAACACTTAGTTACATTTTTTGGCAGTAGTAAGGAAATCCCAAAAAAGAAATATAGTAATGAGTGAGATTAAAAGATGCTTTCTCTCAGCCTAACTCACCGCTACAAGTTGCCCTGACGTTCTCGCCCCACAGATAAAGTCCATTTGTGAAGTGTGGTAAGGTCATCACAAAGGATCCGATAGCCATACTTCCGGCCGCTAACGACAAAAACTTCGCCTTGTTCCGTCCAGAGCCGAAGTAGCTGATTACCAAGCCAACGATAGCTGCAGACACGTCGTAGGCGCTCGAAATGCTGCCGACCTTTGAACTCGGCAGACCGAAGCGCCTTTCTATCGTTGAGGTGTTAACATTGTTTATACCATTTACAACAAATCCTGAAAAACAAATTAAGAACGTCTAAAAAAACATCGAAACACTTCGAAATCTAAAATGTATATGCCTAGAGAAAGCGTTTACCAATTTGAATAAAGTCGGATTTGTTCGAGAGACCATCCCTATTAAATAATCATCTCGCAGAAGAGACCACAATTTGTCTAATCGCCATAATCGGTTTACCGTTTATACGCTTACTTTATAAGGAAAGCACATATTTTAAGAAACTAATTTTGAGCCTTTCATTGAGTGGTGTCTAACACATGCTGCTTGTATACGGCGTTGCTTACTCTTAATTAACTGTGGATGGTGCAACAGAGAGCCTCTCTGATTACGTAAACACACCAGGTTTGATTTTATGGTGATTTGGTCTAAAAAGGAATAAGGGAAAAGTTCATAGAATGCACGCTGGGTATTTTTACCTTGAAATACTCACACAACCAAATCAGTCAATCAGCAAGTGTTTCATACGTTTGTAGTTCCTATCTAAAATTAACTCCGGTTAATTACAGGACCACTGAGGTATATCAATTAGGAACTGATGACACATTTTTGAATGAATAAAATGTACAGGTATTCCCCTTTTGAAAAATGTATACATTTGATATATTTCCATATCTGTGTGCGGTTTTGTACAGGGGTAAAACGTGTATGAGCAGTTTCTTTTTTATGTTACCGGTTTTGCTTGTAACCTTCCGGTTACCAAATTCTGGACGCTGTGACACTCCAATATGCAATTAAACCTGCCAAACAGTAATTTTGTATCCTTTGTAAGGTATGTATTTATGAATCTAGACAGCTGTCATTGGTGTTGAACTTCAAATATTTAAGTTATTAACTAAAACGTCAAGTAATACCATATAGTAAATGACTTAGTTGTGCGAGTCATTTAACATTTATTTATAAAAGAACGGTTTGGAGTGGGCATTTCTCATGTCAATGGAGAAAGTCAGAGGAAGATGTCTGCTTTTAAGTTCCGTTTCTCTTGAATGGCAAGCCCTATTTGGCCACCTTGCATGTCGGCACAGAAACTATCGGAAATTTAAATCGTGCTTTTGAAATTGAAGCAAACATTATTCGTACAGTTAGTGCATGTTTCTTGAGTGATTCGTCTTGACAGTAAGGAAACTAAAAAATAAGGGTACGAGATGACAGATTTCGGATTTTTTTAAAAATCGGACAAGCATTCAAAGGCTGAAAATATGAGTATATAATCAAGGGTCGTCATAATACGCCTAATGAGTATCGCGATATGCTGCAATACAAAAAAATGTTTGTAATACGCATCCCGATTTATTGTCATAGGAAAATGTACCCATTTTAAAAGGAAATTGTGGAAAGAATGTTATCAAACTGAATCATTTATCACATGGACCACACAGATTTATGCTTGTTGTCAAACCAACTAAAAATCATGAACTTTAAATTGATTTTTGCCGATCGTTAAGCCGGTGTATGGTTTTTGACATATCTGTTAGAATATGTAATAATTTGAAAAGTTAACACACCTAGCTAATACATATAAATAAGCGTTTAAAAAAATATTGCGATACAGCGATATTTCATTTCTGTATTGCGGTACGATACGATATATGCCTGTATGTTGCGATATACCGGTTTCCCGATGTATTGTAACATTCCTACTATAATCGTACAATGTATCTGCTGTGTGTTGCAGTTTGAAGAAGTTTCATAAACTCCATTCCATTCCAGTTGTGCTGGGTGACAAGAAAACGACTGGTCACTTGCAACGATTACAGAAAAACACTTCCCGTTTGGCTCAGTGTTTCGTCTATATCAAAATGTCTCCTCTCCCAAGAGGTATTTTTGAATTCCCTCCGCCGGAAAACTTTCAAAGTAAACTGTGCCCACTCCACGAACAAGCTGTTTTGGCATTCTGTGGATAACCACAGTTACATTGATCAATGGAACATATAAGTTGAACCGAGACAGAGCAGAGATCACGTTTGTGATGGCGATTGTTAAACACTAAAAGTGTCGCATTTAAACGAATTATGGTATATGTGATTACAAACACACTACTATAAGCATCGTCATAAAATCGCCAATATTTATTCCCTATACTTGATGTGTGTTCTAGATTAATGTCATTCAATAGTCACAGTACAATTTAGCCAACTAGATTAGGCGTTCATAGAAGTGCACCTTGCAAAAGCAGACATCTAATTCAAGTTTTCCCCCATTTCCGGCATCTTGTATCCACACTTTACCAAATGACAATGATCAGCTCACGGTTACTCTGAGCGGTCACCCTTTAAATCGTCTTCAAACGACAATATATGACGGTTATATAAAACAATATATTTTGGTGTTGCTTACTTTATTTAGTCGGGTATATTTATTTTTTTAAGTTTGTCTGGCGGCACTTGTTGTCGCTTGAAGACGATTTTAAGCATGGCCACTCATCAATATCGTCTGTAAAATAAAATTGCAAAAATGGTTACCAAAAACAAACCTTGGATGAATGCGAAGAATGAGAGAAAAGCTAGTAGACACTTCGGATTGTTAAATTTCTGTAATAAATCCGGTTTATAAGGTCCAAATCCACATCGAATATCCGGGTCTTCAAACGACATCGAACGACTCACTTCCGGTTTATGGGTAGATTTCAACTGGTTGTGTTTCTCATCCATGTTGTTTAACCCACCGTTTCGTTGCCAAGGGTCCGAATCCGACTCCAATAATTGTTTGCCGCTTTTCTCCTTCTCCTCGATAGAGGGTGATTCGTCGAAGACGTCGTCAGGTGAATGACTTCCGGAGAAAGTCAAGGGCAGTAACTCGTCGACGTCATAAGCGTCTGTCACAGACAACCTACTGGTTTTCTTCTGAAAACACGTAAAACTTTGATTAAAAATGTGACGAAAACCTAAACGGATTCATGCTAGCATTACACCGCAAGTAATTGTTCAATGTTTCAAACGCCCTGCGTATGAGTTTGTCAACTCGCTGAAATAAACATGTAATTATTCACTTCCACATCCCAAATGCTTTTTGTCAATAACAACTCGGTGGACTTTTGTATCAGCAATTTAATATAAATAATTTAGGTCATTTGATCAAATGTCAGCGAAACCATCGCTATCCCATATAAATTAATGTCAAAACAACTCGTCATCGAGTGGGGTATAGAGTGCTGCTATGCGTAAAACGAACAAACCACGCGCTGATTCTCTTAACATAAAACTTGAACTTTAACAATGTGTTAAAGAGTGTGAAGTATGGAATCTAGCCCATAATAATCACAAGTGCATCACTTATACTTTTGTAAATTAGGTAAGATGTTTACTATTTTCCCATTGAATACGTATACGCTATATAACTCTGTAGAGTTTAGACTCAATAAAACTAAATAGTAAAGAATCTGAGTTTTTTCTATATAAACTATCCAATTAGATACGCCAGCAAATTAGTCTCCTTTACACAAAGTTTTCATTTTTTTTGTTTAATTTTTCTCAGAATTTTCCGATCAAGTTTTTATAAGCTATATTGTTGACGTTGAAAACAATAAAAATAGCGGCTATTTATTTTACATGAACAATGTCACGCAGTCTTGCACAAGTCATATATTTAAGAAATTATTGAAAAACTTAAGGAAATATAAGGATTAAATCCTGTTGTGTTGAGAATTATGGGGCATAACCCTCAATGGGTCTGGAGAAAAATGTTCCTTAAATAATTATATAGTTGATATGTATATCAAATATAGGACAACATTTGCAATAAACCTGTATATAAATGTTACTATGATTCAATTTCTTCCCTTAAACGTTCTTTCTGTAGCGCTAACTCAAAATCAGGGTATGAAAACACTTAATTAAAGTACGACCTTTTAGAAAATAAATCGTTTCCCCTTGCAGAATATACCGACAACAGCTTTACAGCTGTATTTCAAACAGAGAATAGTATGTCTCCGACAGGGAACAGAACCCATGACCTTCCTCGCATGGACGAAACGCTCATCCCCATGACACAAAGCGATATATTGTCAAGCGAGTGGGGGAAATAAAAACTGAAAAAGCAATCCTCCTTGGTCGCCTCTTACAAATGCAGCAGGTAATTTATATTTTTCTTGATCCCGTCGTGCAGAGATGCATATACATAGGGTTTAAAGATTCAACGAATAACCAACTTTAAAATGAACCTGACGAACCGGTAAACTTACACTAAATTTATACAATATGTGGTATTTATTACAATATTTTACCATTCACATCACTTAGACTTGTACAAGACCCAAATGTTTTCCCATGTTTCTGACTCCTAGCTCACGCTCGGCTATTTCCGTGAAATAACATGCGACGGAAAAGTGCGAAATGATCAGATTTTAAATGTGTGCAGACTCCGCTATGTGCAAACAATGCTGAGAGTGCAGAATCGTCTGTGTAAGTGAAGGATAATGCATTCACATGTTTGTGACGTGTCAGTTTTCATATTCGTGCCAGCTTGTTATACACCTACAAATAATAAGCCCGATCTTTCAGTCTGGCAGGTCCCTGTATGAAGGCCAAATAAATTAGTATGTGTTTCATGCTCGTCATTCTCTCTTCCATCAGAGTCACCTCCCTTGTTATAACTCTCGCGATAGATTATCAACGTAGAGGCAATACTGACATACCAAGATAGTCCCTCGCCAGCCCTAATTAATATGATATTTATTTGTGAAAGTCTAGGACCCTGTTCTGCAGAATGAATCACTGATCAATGATATTGACTTACATACCCTTTTATTGAAGAAGAATATGAAACACATCTTTATTTCTATATGGCCTAATATGTGTAGGAGAAAGGGAGAGGGAGTGGAGGGAAGGGGGAGGGGTGAGCTTCGCCTGTTTAAACGAAATTAAGTTTCTTCGAGAAGATCTCATTTTAGATATGGCTGTCAAATCTCCATGGAGATGACAATTAATGTTCATTCTGCCTATGTCAAGGTTGCTCCCCAATCGGAACACCTCGTCCGATTCATTTCATGTACTGTAATCAGGGCGAGGTGTTCCGAATGGATTGATCCCGTGTTGCGAATGTTCTTAGGCGCGCCCACACCAACCATTGAATGAAGTATGTGACTCATCTATAAAGAAGTCGACACCTGTGTGCCGTAATTTAACCTTACCACCGCGTCATATGTACATTGTACGTTTAAACAATGCCAGGATTCAAAATTCAAACAGTAAAACCTTTATTTAATTCTTTCCATGTGCCACTTACATCAATACCGTAAAACCTCGATATAATGCCCTTCGTTCCATATGCCACTTAAATTAATACAATTAATCCTCGATATATTGCCACTCGTTCCATGTGCCACTTACTTCAATACCGTAAAACCACGATATAATGCCCCTCGTTCCATGTGCCACTTTCTTCGATACCGTAAAACCTCGATAGCATGCCCCTCGTTCCGTGTGCCACTTACTTCAATACCGTAAAACCACGATATAATGCCCCTCGTTCCATGTGCCACTTTCTTCAATACCTTAAAACCTCGATATAATGCCCCTCGTTCCATGTGCCACTTACTTCAATACCGTAAAACCTTGATATAATGCCATTCGTTCCATGTGCCACTTACTTCAATACCGTAAAACCTCGATATCATGCCCCGCGTTCCATGTGCCACTAACTTCAATACCGTAAAACCTCGATATAATGCCCCTCGTTCTATGTGCCACTTACTTAAATACCATAAAACCTCGATATAATGCCCTTCGCTCCATGTGCCACTTACTTCAATACCTTAAAACCACGATTAATGCACTTCGTTTCATTTTTGCCATTTACTTACAGCCAACATATTTCAAAGTCATTTTCTCATTTTCTAAAGAATCCCTTTGCATATTTTACTCATTTTATCACCAAACCTTTTTATAACGCCAAAACCTCTCCACAAAATGGTGTCAGTATAACGATGTTTTTCTGTACTTGAAGATGGGCTATATGTATGTAGAGATCACATGTTATCAAGTCAACAATACCAGGACATGAGAATTAATTACAGGAAAGCTATAGTTGGACCTAAACTGTGTTAAGAGTAACATAAGACGTTTTAGGGATGAAAATCCATAAGATATCTAATTGTAAGCTGAACACATCAATCAGGACCATGCATAGCTATACTGCACAGGGGCATGAAATATTGGCATAAGAGGCCCCTATTTTTTAATATTACAAGTAAAGCGACCCATGCCCCTGTGCTATACTGTAACAAACCCAAGGTCCCTGTTGTCAAAATATTCCCTACTTTCAATTGTATACAAGTTACTAGATGCATGCATATTTAGTGTTTAAATTTGCAAAATATCCTATCTAATTTAAGATGCAAGTCCATCAACTTATTAAATATAAGAAAAAAAAATGCATTCAATTGCAGCACTAAGAAGTGTATGAAAAGTCAGTACCGACCCATGTTGTGCTCAAAATATAAAATTAAAAATAATTAATATAATCAAATTCAATTAACACCTTATATGTTTTAACTAAAGGTCACCTGAACCAGGTGATCTTTAATTGTTCCTTGAATAGACTTAGATTTAATTTGTTTAAGCATCTTATATACATATATACAACAGAACTTTTATTTGTTACTTTAAGGAGCCTCGTATCACTTCCCAAAACTGTAACTTTGCATTGAAAACTCTTTTTATATAACATTAATTTAAACTTCATTTTTCATAACAATTATTAAGCAAGATATTTCAACTGATACAAATCACCCTTGTTGGCCCTGATATTAGCTCGCAGGGGTCTTCCTGTGGGAGGAAACCGGACCACCCAGAGAAAACCCATGTAGTCGGGCAGGTGACCTCATACCTTTTCACGTTCGATCGGGGAATCGAACCACGGCCGGCTATGTGAAAGGCGCCATCCGACCACTAATTTAAAATATTGTTAAGTTATTTTGAGGGGAAAAAATATAAAAGAATTAACAACAATGTTCGGAGTGGTGTAACACAATTAAACTGTAATTAAACATTACAACTTGCAATAAAAAAATATCTCTGCTTCTCATNCGAGCAGAGCGTGGCGATTTTTTCTCTGAAGATGTAATACTAAACTTGTTCAAGCACTGCCAAGCGTAGAAAGCTAGAATTTATCGGACATTATTTCCATTGTCAAACAGATCGAATAAGGCGTAGAATAGTTTTCTTGAGTTTGCGGTATTATTCCAGGTTATATTTTATAACATAGAGTATTTATATTTTATGATGGTCGAGCGGAGCGAGTGTAAACAAATTCTCTGAAACAATGGTAAAAATGTAGGTTTTTGGTTAAAATGTTGATGTTGTTGTCATGCTTTTCATATGCATGTAGTTTAGGCGAGCATTTTGGCAATTAAATATTGATTTATTTTGTCATAAATTAGAATTATGATTTGACTGTTTGTCTTTTATTGTGAATGGGTATGCATTCATATGTACAAGGGCAACACCTGTTAATAAGGATATATATATATACATGCCAGACTTTTATGCTAACATTGGTTATTATTTACCTGATAACGTGATGCTAAGGTGGATGCTTTATTGTCTTTGAAATTTTTGAAATTTATATTTTTTAACAGGTATAATAAATCACTGCTGGTGATCATGTGTTTTTATCCTACATCATGGTCGGTAGGTAATATAACTCCTATTTTAAGAAAGGAGACAAGAACGATACCAATAATTACAGAGGAATTACTTTAATAAGTTGTTTAGGGATTTTTTTTACATCAATTCTTAATGAGCGTCTTGCTAATTTCGATAGTGACTATTGTAAATTAAGTGATGCTCAGTTTGGTTTTAAGAAGAATTTATCAACTATTGACGCTATAGTTTATTACACACAT